CTGTCTTTGCCTCTCCACCTCGTGCCCACACTCACCTCTGTGCTTCCATTCTGCATTTTCTGGCTCTTGTTTGCTGCCATCACGATACATCAGTCTGCAAAGCAAAGTTCAGAGCCTCGTCAAGGAGCTCCCTGGAAAAACAATGCTGGAAATGGTCTCAGTGCCCGTCTCTAGTCAGCCAAGTGGCTCTGATGGAGTCTCAAGCTGTATGGTACATTATGACCTCTTGCATCCTAGACTGGCAGGGGCAGAGAGCTACGCTGAGGCAGCACATGCCTCGGGTGGGTGAGACCTGGTATTGCTTAACAGCAACCCATCTATCCAATTAAGCATCAGAACTGGTGGTTCAAAGAAGAGTCCCAAATGATCCTCCCTCAGCTAAAGAAAGCGCCTGCAACACAGGGACTCAAAGAAGAGGTTGAGAGGCATCAGCAAAGCTGGGGAACCCAAAATTGGAGTAACAGTCCTGTGAGCCAGGGCTCCTGGATTGCAGAGCAGGGGGGTGGGAATTCGGGATATGAATAGCAGGGGGTGCTGAGAGTCATGATTGAAGTGCAGCAGTACAGCTGTGCAGGGTGGAGGTGGAGGGCTGGGGTGGGGACTGCAGGGGCATTAGCAGGACTGTGCAAAGAACCCAGGAGAAGAGTAGCAAGAGATGCAGCAGGTCAGGATTGAGGCACACTGGCAAAGGTGAGGATAATGGTCAGGGCTGGATTAGATGGTGCCGTGGTGGGTCAGGATGAAGCAGCATTGGCAGGGCTCAAGAGTGAAAGAGCACAATCCACTCACGCCGTGCCAGCTCTGGAGCGCGCAGGTGGCAGACACACTCCACCTACTCAGGAGCACAGCTCAGTGCTAGTTCAGATACAGATTCCAAGACACCTCATTGTCATGTCCAATGCATTGCAACAGCACAATGCTTGCTCCATCCACTGTGGCCAATGCATCTCAAAGCCATCTCAGGAAGGAGCCTATTTCAACCTCCAAAACCCTAATGCCACCTCAGGGGCACCCCTTCTGACATCCCCTATTGCCACTTCCAGCACAGATTCCTTCTTTCCCAGCCGATTAAATGCAGAACCATTAAGCAGAACTGCTTCGCCAGCTGTCCCCTGCCCCTCCCTTCCCTAGCATTAGGGAGACTGTACACCAGGCATTTGCCTGCTGTTGGGTACTCACGGAGCAGCAGTCGGACGCTGTCATCAGCAGGGTGCCAGGAGCTGAGCGCGTCCGGTTGTGCTAGCCACAGAGCAGATACTCTGACAAAGATGCATCTTACCCCAGACAGTACCGCCGCAAAGCCCCACCTCCCAGCTGCACGGGTCAAGGAGTCTGCAAGTTGCTGTGGTAACATGATGAATGGCTCCCTCGGCCATATCAAATTCAAAACAGACGATTGCATGACCAGTCTGGAAAATGCCACCCCCCCATCCCCCCCATTGCAGATCCTAGGAACTGAGACACAGGACCTGCATCTAACCCGACCCTACCAAAACAACGTAACAAACGGGGAGAGAAAAGTCCCTCGACATTAACACCTAGAATGGAACCATGAGCAATAGGCAGCCTGGAGGCAGTCAGGAAGAATAAGAAATCTCTCGCTGGCAGGGTGACAATGTTGGTGGATGGATGGAGTGCAGTAGGGCTCACATATTTGGGACTGAAACCGTAGCTCACAAAATCTTACTTGAAAACTTAGTTCATTGGACAAAGACACTGCTGTGTGGATTGAAAACAGGCTACAAAGGAGAAAGATAAAAGGGATGTATTGAGTTGGGAGAGGGGGTTAGTGGGGAGCACAGAGATCACGGTTATGATTGGATTTATTTAACTTCAGTTGGAAGTGGCACATCAGTACAATTCAGAGAGACTGAGTCGGAAAGAGTGGTGAATGCCAGAGGACAGAGAAATAATGCAAAGGGCCCTAGTGAGGTGAGAAGCCCAGAGGTACTTAATGGGAGGGAGGAATCCAGGGGTCAGCAAGGGCTGAAAGATACTGGTTGTTTGCAGACATGATGCTGGGGTGTCTTGAAACAGCCAGCAGCAGATGGGCAGGGGAGGCCCCTTGCCACCATAGTAGAAAGCCCTCTATTTGCTGAGTGGCTGCTTCATGCTTCCAGCTCCCCCAGCACAGCAGATGGGGCATGACGGTGCAGGTCCTTGAATACCCAGAGTTTCACAGCCTCCCTCCCTCAAGCTGGAGAATGAGGGAGGTGGGAATCAGACACATACACAGACCCTGCTGACCCACCCACTCACCCTGGTTTGGGGGTATGGGGAGCAAGTTCCTAGCAAAGATATTCCCAGGCAGACAGGGGTATGGGGGTAATCAGAGGCCGAGCCTTCGGGAAGACATATTCCC